GCGGCGCCCCTCGCGGCCACCGCCTCCCCGAGACGCTCTCGCTGGTCCGCGCCCTCTCCAACCCCCGCCCTTCTCCTTAACTCCGGAGTGTGGGCTCCGGTGGGTTCAGAGTACGTTTTTGAACCAGTCCTATAAGCTGCTGAGGAGAAAAAAAAAAAGAATGGGGCGCGGGGTGTGCGGTGAGGAGGTTGAGCGGTGGAAGGGCAAGAGGACCTGAGGTCGCCACGCAAGAGAAAAGCGGACTGTGCTCGCCACCTCTGGATCACCTCGCCTGGGTCTAAGGGGGAGGAAACTACAGCCCAGACCCACACCCCTAGATTCCAGGATAGTGTCCCCGGGGACACTGCAGGGAGCGTGGAGTGTGGAGGACCTTCGGACGGGTCCCCACCCTAGCTGGGCAGCCCCCAAGGCAGTGCGCCCTCTGACTGCACTGCCACAGGTTTTCCCTTCTGAGATCCTTAGAAGTAGGGTGTCTCGATCTGCAGCCCCCCATGTATGATATTCATATTCACTCATTTCTTTCTCCCCCCTCCCTCTCTCTCCTCCCTCCCTCCCTCTCTTCTCTTTCCCCCTCCTCATCTCCTACCCCTCTCCCCCTACTGCACACGCACACTCTGTACCCTGCTACAAAGTAACACCTTTACCCCATGACCGTGACCCTGATCGCACACTTACGCCGTGCCCTGGATTTAACCCAAAAGGTTAGGTTTAGTGGGTGCTGCTAGGGGGGAAAGTCCCGTGTGGGAACCCTCTGCAGGGGCCGGGTGCCCTTGCTACACCCGGCAGGAGCGTCTCTTCCCTGTGCGGGTCGCGCTCTCTCCGCACGACTTGCGCCTGCCCTCCCGGAGCTGCACAGGTTCTCTGTTCACGCACCCCCCTTAGGGTCCCCTCTGTCCAGGCCTGGGACTGAGATCGGATCACGTCAGACACTATCTCTAGGTTAAGGCATTGGTACGAACAGTTTGATGAGGTTTCCGTGAGACTCGCAACCCGAAAGCTCCTACACGCTGCAGGGGACACGTTGATGTTCCCAGCTTCGCTTTCCCGCGGTACGACACTTTGTAATTGCCTGACACAATGTGATGTGGGGGTGTCCATTGTTCTACTGCTTGTTATTGTGGAGTGTTCATTATGACAGTGGTGGAATTTAAAATTACACATTTTTAAGTACTTCAAAGGTAGAATGAATTCGTTGTGGGGATATGAGTAAGCTTTCCATTAAAATCACAGTTCGGCCTGTCAAAGGAGACTCATTTTGGTTATAACATTTCCTAATTTGTATTTTCGCGTTGTTCTGCTTCTTAAACGTCAAATTAGAGAGAGATCTGGGGTCATACCCGGGAGGGCGGGGCAAACGTTGCCTGTTTGGCGTTTTAGCATCATTGTGTAGGTACATGCCAAATTCCAAATATTTGGGAGTGTACCCAACAAAGCTGAGCGTCTCCTCTCTCCTAATTTCTTCCCGAGGGGGAAGCGAGAGGAAGCAGCACCGAGATCCGCGTGACTCCCTAGATCCCACGCAGCTGGGAGGCCTGAGCCAGCCGGACCGAGATAGCTCCGCGCCTGCAAGGGGTCGGAGCAAAACACTTGCACGTCGGAAAAGTTCGAGTCCCTAGGATGATTAGCAGAGACGTGGAAAAGTCGAGAGGAGTACTGACAAGTTTAAGGGAGGAGTGCTTTACAGTTCGGTGTTTTCCCAAGTAGCCTCTGGGAGCATATCCAGATGCACCCAGTTTGTGAGGACGAAGTCTTGTGACCAGAACTCGAGGACCAGAGTAGACCTTGGCAGACTTAGGACGACCCACGCAGCAAAGATTCGGAGTAGAGTTTAAAAGAGTTTGCACTAACCTCGCCCCGAGCGCCCCCCTTTCCCCGCGGTAAACGCTACCGTCGGAGTAGTGGGTGGGCGTTGTGGCGGAGAGTTGGCCCTAATCCTGCTGCCCGACGGAGAGATGAAGAGAGTCTTTGGGGGCTTTAATCTGAAATTCACCTAAAATGTTTGATAAATAATGTGAGTTGAGATTGGTATTTTGTTTTGTCTTCTTGTTCTTTAAAAAAAAAGTCACGAGAAACTTTTACTTTTGAATATTCAAAAACCGTGGACGTATACGTTGTAAATTGTACACAGAAAGAAGCTTTTTGTCTTCTAGCAACATATTTAAGTCCCGTTTCCTTTGGTGCCAGAGCCATTACAATTGATTCACTGTTGTTCAGCTGATATCAAATAACAAGGTATATACCCCAAGTCTTAAGATACAGTTTCACGAGTTAAGAATAATGTAAACAAAAAAGTGAACTATAGCCCAGAGTTATATTTAGAGCCAGCTATACTTCCTTTAAAGAAAATGACTTTAAAGGAAATGGTTCAGGAATTTAATAAAAATAATGATATTAATCAGCCACCTGTTCCTTTACAGGCATACTGACCTGAAAAGGTACTAGACACCCCCCTCCCCGCACATCTTTAGTAACAATAAATCTTATAAAGTATATATGTGTAAAATATTTAAAACCAGATTGTTACACATTAATAACTCTAGGGTTTTTTTTTTTTCAAATATACTGGGGATGACGATCATAGTAGAGTTACTGCTTTGGAAATTTGGAATTTGGGGTGAAATAACATTCCCTGGACTTCATAGTCTGTAAGTACAAGTAGGAGCAATACATAAATACATCTCAGAAGAGCTGCACTTCTGCTACTATGACTTACTGTTACACCTCCCAGTCTGCAGTTACTATTCACTCTGTCCTCTGGGTACTCATACACACGCACACACACACACACACACACACACACCCCAAAAACAGGCATAGGAACTCCTCAATTTCCTTTCTACTGTCTCTCCCAGTCACTGACATGGTTACAAGACAGGTCTCTTCCACATTCCTCAGGTACATTTTCTTGACTTCTTTCTTCTTTGAGGCTGCTCTTGTTGTTCATTGTAGCCTGATTTACCTAGAAAACATATCAGAAAGCGGATGGGAAGACCCTCAGGGTGATCTGCTTTGCTCCTTCCACCTCTAAAGCTGTTTATTATCTCCAAAAATACTCTATTTAACTGAGAGGCCCAGTCTTGATGCTGGGTGAGGAATTAGTAAATAATTACTGAATGATTTGTATGCCCTAACTTTAAAACAAAACTTGAAAATGGGTTTGATGTATGTTTCTCTTGAACAAACTCTATGATCTAGCCAAAGACAGTGGTTAAAAATATGTGAAATGATTACTAAACACATAGGATCATTTCACAATATTTACAGAACCCTATGAGGCCACTTCTACTATCCCCATTTCACAGATGAGGAAACTAAAACCTATGTAAGCTTCTAAGACCCATGGTAAAAAGTAAAGGGATTTGAATTCATAACTTCCTGACCAGCTCCAGCTTTGACGCTCTTAACGCTATGCTAATCTGCTTTTAATGAATTGTTCTAATGATCTGTATTTTATCTAATCTGAAACCCATATTCTTTTACACTTTAACATCTCTGAGATTAGGATGCATCTTATACTGAATTCTTTTAATTATATTTGTTTTTTCCAGTACTAGGGATTGAATGTAGAACCTTGCACATGTCAGGCAACCATTCTTATGGTAAGTTACATCCTTCAATTTAATTTTTTTTTTTTTTTTGTACCAGGGATCAAACTCAGGATCTCACACTTGTGAGGCAGGAGGCTGCACCACTGAGCTAAATCCCTGGTCCTGCAATTTTTAAATTTTATTTTGAGACAGGGTCTCATTAAATTTGCCCAGGCTGGCCTCAGACTCTTGATCCTCCTTCCTCGGCCTCTCAAATAGTTGGGATTACAAGAATACACCACTATGCCTAGCACAAATGATATCTTTTTTTCTTCAATGGCATATAAGAATAATAACACATTTCTCAATCAGTGGTATATTAGGTTTCATTGCCTTATGCTGCAGTAACAAGTCTTTGGAAAAATCTCAGAGACTTAAAACAACAAAGGCTTATATTTCTTTCTCAAGTCATCTGACTTTCCAGAAAACTACTCTCCATATGATAATTCGGTCCTGAACATTAATAGCAACATTGTGCTCCCCCAGTTACTACTGTGGAGAAGGATAAAGCCCTGGGGGACCTCTCCAGCAATTACATGTTCCATTGCAGTCGTACACTATGTCACTTATACAGCCAATCTGTTGTTTAGAATTGGCGTATGAACTGACCAATTTGTAGGGAAGCTGGGAAGTTTAACTCTTCCAAATTTCAAGAAGAAGAAAAGCATTAGAGATGAACATTTAATGTCTGGTAATTAGGATCCATTGACATAAATACTGGGGATCTAGTTTATTCAAAACGAGTGCAGAGCAATTGGGCCGTGGTTTGTTATATTCTATCCAGAACATACTTTCAAAATTCATACTCATGCCGGGCATGGTGGCACAGGCCTGTAATCCCAGCACTCAGGAGGCTGAGGCAGAAAGATCACTGTGAGTTCAAGACCAGCCTGGGCTCCATAGTGAGTTCCAGGTCAGTCTCAACTACATACTGAGACCCTGTCTCAAAAAACCAAAAAAAAAACAAAAAAAAAAACAAATGCATACTCATGTTTAATTGCAAAGTACAAAATTCTAGAATCAATTTCAAAAAGAATAGAAATGGCAGAACTATAATGCAGGTGTTTCAACTTGGGGTCCATAGATGAGCCCTAAGGATCTGGACCCTCCCAAAGTCACATATAAAACTTCCAATGCATTTTTTTCCTGGGGAATAGGTACATATCTTCATCAGTTTCTCATTTGATTTTTATGATTTACCTATTCAATGATCCAACAAATGTGTGTTGAAGGATCAGGCACTTTTCTGGGTGCTCGAGATCTAGCAGCAAATATGAGAGAGAAGCTCCCAAATATAAGTTTATAGCCTGGAAAGTAAACAAGTGACAAGATCTTAGATCCATACAAGTCACATGAAAGGACAGTGTGGTAGAGAGTACAGGTTAGAATGGTCATAAAAGACCCCTGCAAGGAAAACTTTGATTTGAAATAGGAAGGAGGAGAAGGAAGTAGTCATTCAGACATCTTGAAATCCAAGAAAAAATTGTGTTCCCATTAGAATTTTTAAAGGAACTATGAACTGGATGTGCTTAGCACATATGAGAACTTGAAAGGCATTTGCGGACAGTGATAGAAGAAGTAGTGAAAGAGAATGCAGATAAGTTATATGAAGCCTCTGGGCCCTGACAAAAGATCAGGACAAATGCACCATAGAAAAAAGTACTGCTTTGCATAGGAAGATCCGAGTTTCTTTCTGGCTCCGCACTTTGTATATACATGTGCAGCATCTGACCATCATAACCTCTGTCATTAAACACCAGGTTAACTCAAGAGGGGCACAACTCACATGGCGTCCCTCCTCTCCCTTCTGCCACCAGACCTGTTGCACCTCTTTTGCCCTACCAGGTAAACACTACATCATTCCCCAAAGAATGGGGAGGGGTGCTTTCCTATCATCACAAAGGGGAGACTCCAGTCTCTTTGCAGAAGAATGAGGGACTTCATTCTTTTTAAAATTTTTAATTTTATTGGTACATTTTAGGTATGCCATATAATGACATTCATCGTTGGAGATTTGTACCTTTACATAATCTATCTTGATTCTTATTTTTCCCCATTCCTCTGCCCTCCCTCCACCCTTCTCTATTTATAAAGACTTTGTTTCCATTTTTTCATTCTTCTCATATTAATTCCATTCCCTTCTTTTGTACCTTTTCTTCCTATTTCACATTATCTAGTGTATATTTTGATCCTTATTTACATTTTGTTTCTCACACCAGAGAAACTATTCAGTATTTACACGTGTGTTCTATTTATTTCACTTAAGGGTATCACCTCAATGTGCATCCATTTAGCTATAAATAAAAAATATAGAATACTTCACGAATCTGCTTGCCATCCTTGCACAGGGGCCACGCTAATCTTCTCTGCATCATTCCAATTTTAGTATATGTGCTGCTGAAGCGAGCAGGGAGGGAGGCCTTGAACATGTCATTTTACCATAGCTTCCATTTCATTTGTTAAATGGGAATAGTTATTTACATTTGGAATGTCATTGTAATGACTGCATAATACACATTATAGTGACCTGAAAATAAAACAGCACATGGGCCGGGGATTTAGCTCAGCGGTTCAGTGGCCTGCCTTGCAAGTGCAAGGACCCGAGTTCAATCCCTGGTACTGGAATAAATAAATAAATAAATAAACAAACAAACCAGATAGCTCAGCGTCAGTGTCCTGCCTTGCAAGTGCAAGGACCCGAGTTCAATCCCTGGTACTGGAATAAATAAATAAATAAATAAACAAACAAACCAGCATGGGTTTCTGTATACAAAAGTGCATGACTTGCTCTTCTGAAGAGAGTTATTACCATGCTACAGCCTTGGGTGTATATGTATAGATGGGTGCATACATGTACCAATGTAAGGGTGCCTGACACATGAGGAATAATTGTCTGCATTATAAAAGTGTTCTTCACTTTAAAATTAAGGTACAATAGAGTCCCTTTTACTAGTATTTTGCTAAAATTAGTCATTTAGTTTATAAAACTGAGTCTTTCAAATACACTTTCCACAATATTTCGGGACCAGGGAAGTAACTCAGTGGCAGAGTGCTTGCCTAACACGTGCAAGGCTCTGGGCTGAAGCAGCGCCACAGAAATAAGCACACACACCTTCTGCTTGTACCCACTGAGGTAAGCATACCTATAAGGTTAGGGAAAAAGTCATTTCCCATTGTAATTTTTACTCTTACCCTTCAAAGCTTAGCATCTATTTACTCTAAACATCTCTATGCTCAAAAAATATTGTTTAGCTATCAATGTGAATATCTTAATAGAATAGCTTTATGCACATTAAGCCCATGGACATAAATGGAGACCACACAAATGAGACCAAACTATTCACTTAGAGGGAGTCAGCCACCATCACTTGCATTTGGCGGAGATTCAGAACCAAGCATGGGAGGGGGAAAACTTCATAGTGAAGATAGGTTCTGACTGGAGGTTGTTGACAGGAAAAGCTGGAGGACTAACCAAAAAGCCAGCTCAGCAGAAAGAAGCAGGGTTTTCTACACCATTGATTTGGGAAGTGTATTTGGCTTTCGCTGGTTGGTCCTGAGTTGGAAGGGTACTGGTGACAAAGAACTGGAAAGTAGGCAGGTATTGATCAAGTCCTAACCATCCTTATGGCAGTCAGAGATGTTGGTTTGGCTTTTCTGGCTTGTTGTTACAGGTTTTGGCTCAGAGTTCTATTGTCATATGTGATCTGGCCACTGTCCATTTGCTTAGTCAATCTCTCAAGTCAAGAAGTAGAAAATAATTTATGTCCAATAATTAAAGAGAAACCAGATCAAGGTGTAAGGCACCTTTCATTTTGGTGAGATGATGTTTTGATATATTAAGAAGTATTTTTTGTTTGTTTGTACCTGCTGATTCCTTTCTATCCAAAATATTCTTTTATTCAAATTAGATTTTGGCATCTATTGCTTTAGAGTAAGGATATTATAAAAGAAATTCGCAGAGATGAGTTGCTCAAGCTTTAAAATGGACTAGTGAAATCCAAGACAGAAACAATAGTTTGACAGAAGACCTTTTCTTTGATTATGAAAAGCCCCAATGAAGGATTCAGATTATAAAGTTTATTCCATAAAAAGTAGATTTGGAAAAAGAAATGATAAGCCAAAAGGGCATCTTCTCATTCCGGAAAGCAACCGCAGGTTTATGGAGTAGATGGGCAAAGACCTTAGAAAGAGCCCCTCTATATATACCCAACGAGGTCACCATGGTGAGATACAACTGGAACACTTTCTAGGTTTAAGGGACTGTGAAGACAGAGAACAGAAAGAAGGGGTAACTCATGCCACCCTTTCAAGATGGAACCCAGAACAGCAGCAAGCTTTATAGAACATACAAATCCAACAGGGGACAGACAGGCACACGGGTCTGTACAGTGGCAGAAGGTCTTGGGGTTGCTATAAGTATTCTCCACTCACCATAATGTGTGCATTTCATATGTGACTTAGAGCAGAACAAAACCGCTCTGAGCAAGTACAGACTTGGACTAGACCCGCACCCAAAATTTTCCATAAGAAATTACATGAGGACTTCCATCTCAGAGGATGCCAGCTAAAGTGATGACACGGTTAAAGGGTGAAGGCCAGCCACCCTCCTAAGCCCATGAAGATGTCAGCCCACTGAGGAAAGGCCAAGGAATGGGCATAAGAGAAGTCCAAGTCAACTGTGATGGTCTGAAGCTTCCATTTTTGCTTCCTTATATAGTAATTTTGTGAGAAGAAGCTTGAGCTTCTAAAAAAAAGTTTACATTTATCAAATGCTTGAGGTTTTTACATTATAGCTTTTAGCTCACATATATATTTACTGTTGACTCAAATTTGCTTTTTAAAAATGGAGTCTTCTGTCTCCTTTAGTAAATTCAGGGGCACTTTCTGCCTACTTATTTATTATATGCGTAGTATTGGCCAAATGAAAACAGTTTCTAGCCCCAAAGAAATTTCATACTAAGACCAGTTTCAACACAGAATACTTTTCAGTTAATATTCTGAGTAATATAAACCTTAATTTATTATCTGAGTTATCTTTAATTGTCATTACCTTCTCTAATGATATTCATGATGAATAAAACTTTTCTCTCTATTTGATTTTTATGAACATGAATGAGGCTCACAATAGTATTTCCTTTAGAAATATAATCGGATAGTATGACAGATCTTAAACCTCATAATCTTATGTTGAAGAATACCATCAAAAATCAGTTATTGAATTCCTTCTAGGACCAAGAATTTTGCACATGTTATATCATTTATTTCTCACAACCATCCTTGAGACTGTTATTGTCCCTATTTTATACTTTAAAAAAGCAAGGCCAACCAAAGGGGCTCACTAGGAAGTGGCAGATTTAGACAAAATGTCCCAGTTTTCCAATACCCCGCAAACAAGACATGCTTTGACCTATACTATATTGCTGCTTTCCTCTGCCCAGAACTTTAACACTTTGGGAGTGGGAGTTGAGCATGCGGAGATGGGAAATAGTTTTAATTTCTTCTTTATTTTAATTTCCACGTGGCTGTTATGGACATTAAAACAGCCGTGACCTCGCTTCTCAGCCTTTTAGCTAAGATCAAGTGTAAAACAGCCATAACAAAATACTCAACCTTTCAAAAGTAACATACTACATTATAATATCCTCCAGCCAAATATAGCATTCAGTAAATGGTTACAAAGGATTGATATCAATGTTTTGACCTACCTCCTTTGAGAAACATTACATATACTAAAAAACATTTTTCTATCACAGAAAATTTGTCTCTAATGTACTGTTGGGCCATAACTTGTCTCTTTATTACATCCCAGAGGGAGGAAGTTGAGTGGAAAAGACTCTGCAGCTTAACTATGAGAGGGCATTATACATTTCAGCAGAAGAAAAAAAATCCATCAAAAGCTAAGTTGATAAATTAAGGATTCCATGATAAGTCTTGGGATATAGGTTATACATTTGTTTTGCTTTGTTTTTTTTTATTTCACTAAAGCAGCTAAATCTGTATACCAGATGCTGAAGATGGACTTTGGCTTCAAGCAGTTTTGTCCTTCCACTTAGTGAGATCCTCTACCAAAATAAATTTTAAAAAGTTAAAACAAAGTACTTGGGATGTAGCTCAGTGCAAAGACCCTGGCTTCAATCATCAGTACTGGGTGGGGTGGGGGAGGCTAGCAGAGAGGATTCTGAAGGTTTCCAACACAAAAAAGTGATAAATGTCTGAGATGACAGATATGCCAATTACCCTGAGCTGATCGTTACCAACTATATAAACTGTGTTTAAATGTCGCCCTGTACCCCATTCATATGTAGAATTACTATGTGTAAAAGATATTACTATGCATATAAATATTTCTTAATTGGAAGAAAGGGGATGGGGAGCACCTAGATCTGAGAAAGCTGGGAGAGCAGGCTTTTAAAACAGGCAGGAGTTGAGGGGCTCGGGAAAACTCAGTCCAAAGTGTTGCTGTCTGTGCTTCACCCTCTCTTACTTGATAGAAATCACCAGTAGACCCCATGCTGCCCCATACAGCCCTTGCAGGTGTTCTTCCTTCATCTCGGGACCTGAGTGGGACGGTCTACCCCCTGGAGTCAGGGACACAGCTCAACAGGCCAGGGTGTGGGGCGAATGAGATTCAAACCTTTGGCTTCCATAATGGAAGGCGAGGAAGGCCTATATCCCAACAAGACCAAACCAAATGAGTAATTCTGCCAAACGTGGGCACCCAAAGGAGCATTACAGTGTCTTCCCAGACTATCCACTGTAGCAACCTTGTAGCAGCAAGTCATTCCATTAGGAATGCAAATGTAGGTCTGTGAAATAATTTTGAAAAGTCAGGCAAAGGTTGAATTATGCAAACATTAAATATTGCAAATCAAAACCTTACTGACCTAGAAATTCATCCTAATAGATATATTTGCAATCTCTAAATGCAAGCTTTAAAATGCAAATTTGGTAACCCATATGCTAAGTGTCAATTAATTGGGATGTTTAGGGAATGAAATGTTCTTGTTAACTTAAATTTCTAACTAGGTGTGATTAAGCTTTTAAAATGACTCACAAACCTCTGTATTTCAAATCTCACCACTGTAATTCTTAATAACACATTTGGATTGTAAAGACTCTGCAGCACCTCCAAGTTATTAGCGCTACCATGTGGGATGGTAAAGTGCAGTGGGTGTGGACTAGGCTGTGCAGAGAGTCTAGTACATACATTGTGTATATAGTCCACTAACCTATCTATTGGGAGCTTGCCATTTGTTTCTCTATTGCATAACAATTAGGTAAAGTAGAGAAAAAAATTTTGTTCATTTTTAAAAAGCATTTTATTTGGAGCCCACTCAGTACAAGCCCACCACTTGGTTCTGTAAACAAAAACATAAGTGATAAAGGTGTTTTAAAAGTGAGATAGAAATT